TTATTAAGTTTTCAGGTGGACTTTCTCACTTAAAAACATATTAAAACTACTTTATTCCCACTGATCACAGCAAATATAGCTGCAAGATTTCGATTATTTAGATGAAAAACACCGGCCCAGAGGCTGCTGTTGAATTAAGTTTTCAGGTAGAAAAATAGAGCGGGAGCAAAACTGAGTATGATTGTGCTTTATTCATGTATTTATTACAAAGTATTAATCAAATCCATCAAAGTCATCATCCTCTGTTTCTGAATTGAACAGCTGCGCTAAATCAAAAATGCCAATTTCCCCTTCTTCGCTGTCAGAGTCACTTTCCGTGCCGGGCGGCTCCTCAGAAATCATGCCGGCTTTTGCGAAAGCTTCAACAACAGTGCCAGCAGACACGTTAGTCCAAGCATCTACAATCCATCCGCAAACGGTGGCGTAACTTGCCCGGCGCTGCCTTCCACTTATCCTGAAACTGTGGTCTCTGTCGGTCATCCATCGCTCCCACGCCGCTCGCAGCCTTACTTTGAGCGGCCGCTTCACACCGATGTCGAGCGGTGGAAGTTCCTTTGTCAGACCCCCCGGGATAACAGCGTTCATTTGATTCACCTTTTTTTCACATCGGCTGTGAGATGGGCACGCAGTCACAGATTAACAGCGATGGTGATGCGTGGAAAAAAACACCTGGTCTCCTCACATACACCTGCCTCAGCCACGCTTTCATCATCTCCTCATCCATCCAGCCTTTTTCATTTGCCTTAATATCATATGTCATCAGAGCGATGTGTCTGTCTCGCTGTCAGCTCCCAGATCAGCTTCTCTGATTGGTTGATGCGACGCGTCCAGCAGCAAAACTTCAATTTTTCAATTTCGAGCAGCAGCAGCGCGTTGGCAGATGCTTAAACGCTCCCGACGCGCAGCGCCTGCTGCTCAAAACGCGCTGCGGAACCTTTTGCTGCGCCTATACGCGCGTCAACCATTGACTTTGCATGTAAACACGCTGCTTCAGCTGCACCTGCTGGGTCCGGTTCACACTGATGTCGAGCGGTTGAATAACAGCGAGCACAGCTTAATTTGTTTCACCATGTTTTTCACATCAGCTGTGAGATGGGCACGCATGGAGTTACAGATTAACAGCGATGGTGATGAGTGGAAAAAAAACACCTGGTCTCCTTACATTCAGCCACTCTTTCATCATCTCCTCAATGAGGTGGTCTCAAAAGTCGCAGTTACAACACACATAGGGCGCACCGCACCAAAGGACCGCACCGCACATTTTGAGGGAAAAAAAAGACGTTTAAGTGCGCCTTATAGTCGTGAAAATACGGTAAACGAAGTACCCTATATTTTGTGGATGTACAGCTACATTTCTCATGTAAGTTTGTGTATTTTTAACACAAACATTTATTTTTCATATTGCACCAGTACAGTTAATGAGCAACCTGTACTTGTGTGCTTGTTTGTTAATTTTGGAATAAAGAGGTTAATATAAAAAATATTTTTTGTCCGATTCATCGAAAAAATAATCGGCCGATTCATCGATTTTTAAAATAATCGTTAGTTGCAGCCCTAATATATATATATATATATATATATATATATATATATATATATATATATATATATATATATATATATATATATACACATACACAGTGAAAAAATGATGCGACGGGCTAGTCTATTTTGCTGAAATTTGATTACAGCAACTAAAAATGGTATGCAGTAATATGTATGGCCCCCACGTGTGTGTGTATGGATGCCTGACAACGTCAGGGCATGCTGCTAATGAGACGATGGGTGGTGTACTGGGGTATCTCCTCCCAGATCTGGACCAGGACATCACTGAGCTCCTGGAAAGTCTAAGGTGCAACCTGGCAGCGTCGGGTGGATGGAAACATAATGTCCCAGAGGTGTTCTTTGGCTTTAGGTCAGGCGAGCTTGGGGGCCAATCAATGGTATCATCCTCATCCTCCAGGAACTGCCTGCATTCTCGCGCCACTAGGCTGGGGATTGTCGTGCACCAGGAGGAACCCAGGACCCACTGCATCAGCATAGGGTCTGACAATGGGTGCAAGGATTTCATCCCGATACCTAATGACAGTCAGGGTGCCGTTCTCTAGCCTGTATAGGTCTGTGCATCCCTCCATGGATATGCCTCCCGAGACAATCACTGACCCACCACCAAACTGGTCATGCTGAACGATGTTACAGGCAGCATAACGTTCTCCATGGCCTCTCCAGACCCTTTAAGGTCTGTCACATGTGCTCAAGGTGAACCTGCTCTCATCTGTGAAAAGCACAGGGTGCCAGTGGCGGACTTGCCAATTCCGGTGTTCTGTGGCAAATGCCAATCGAGCTCCACGGTGCCGGGCAGTGAACAGAGGGCCCACTAGAGGATGTCGGCCCCTCAGGCCACCCTCGTGAAGCCTGTTTCTGATTGTTTGGTCAGAGACATTCACACCAGTGGCCTGCTGGAGGTCATTTTGTAGGGCTCTGGCAGTGCTCCTCCTGCTCCTCCTTGCACAAAGGAGGAGATACAGATAATTCTGCAGAGACTGTAAATTAGCTGTCAACCTCTGAGCATTAGCTGCCTGTTCTTGTGGTGATTGATTGCTAGCATAGTTAGAATGCTTTGTGTCAAAGTGATGGCTGATATAGTACTCTTTGAAAACTGTGAACTTTTCTTGGCTTACTGTATTTCCCTTGGTCTACTCATCTTTACCAGGGGAAAAATGGCACCTAGAAAGTTACACTCCAACAATGGTCAATGTGTCTAGACTAATGGGTAATCTATCAGGAAAATCAGGGTATTGCAGGGAAAAGGTTTTAGATGGTCGGTCAGCAATTAACCAATGATGTGAAGGCCACTGTGCCACTTAGACGTTGAAAGCAGTGCAAATGTCACAGTCACACTTATTTCAAAACATAATAATTGAGTTTTCATGTTAACATATAGCCCTTGGTGCGTATCGCAGCACAGTGCCCTTCTCAAAAACTCGCATATCTAACTGGAGAGGCCTATAAATTTAATTTTATGTTAACTCATATTTTTGTGTTATCCATTGTTATTGTCAGAGGAATATACATACGGTATCAGGAATGACAAGTCTAAAAGGTTATTGATTTCTGATTGGGAAAATAATTAAATAAAATATTTTTTTTATTAAAAGCATTCAATTGAACTCATGGATTTGCACTAGTGAATTGGTTTGAGCACATTCCAATTGCTTTATGAGTTAATTTAATAATGAGTATAATTTCATTGGAAATTCTTAAAAATGGATTTCAGTTCACAACTGTGATATCATTGTATTATTTCATTGGTAACGATTTTCAATCAACTTCAATTGTCTTTTTCCTTCTATGGGTACATCGCAACTATTTAGTTTAGCTGAGTTTAACTTGCTTAGTTGAGGGTTTCGAACTTAAAGTCGCAAGAAGTCATATTTAAATGTAAAATCATTCATCATGGCTTAAACATGTGTATAAATGTACTCAGACGATATCGTCCCAAAATGTAGAACATTTCTATTTTAAAAAAAATGTCTTAAAATCTGTGTTTTTTTCTCGTTATTATATGCAGGCTGGTTAGTTGTACATCAGCTTGTACACCTTAATTCAGCCATTCATATATTAACGGTGATCTGTCAATCAAATTTTTTTGGTCATAGCATCTTGATTCATATGTTGCAGCTAATATATTCAACGGTTGAAATAAAAATCATTGGCCATTTTCTCAATTCACTAGAATGTGAGTATTGACTCATTTCCTTGCCAAGTATGTTTTTGAAAGGAACACAGGAAAGTATGGACTAAGGGAGAACAGGAGCATGCAGCATAAATATGGGTCAATTGGAAAAGAAGCATACTCATGACGTCACCTCGTCTGAAGCTGCATTTCTCCTCCTGTTATTAAGTCACTAGATAATAATGAATTCTAACTTTTTCATTTACTGGGGGAATACCACTACTCAACACAGTCAGATAAACATGAATCAAATGAACATTTTGCCAAATAACTCAAAAATATCGCCATTGTAGCCAGCGGTCCTTCACACACAGCTATGCCGAGAGAGGGCTGCTGCAGACAGGCTGCTCTTAGACCTGGCTGCCATTACCCACAGAGCTCCGCTGGTTGCCGCGGTCCTCTCAACTTAAAAAAATAAAATAAAATGTAAATTACACATTAAATTAGAGAATGGCCCATATAGTGACGCTTAAAATTTTAATGTTCTCGCCTCAAATTATTGAAGAACAGCAACAGAAAAGAGAACTTTTAACTTAATACTCTGAGCTCTGTGAGCACTCCATTGAAAGCTGCTGCTGCCACAGTGCATGATGGGACAGCTGCCAATCTCAAGAACCGAAAAGTCTGCTCTGATCAATGCTTGGTAAAAAGGGAGGGGTGAGAACAACATCCGAGGACTTTGTCTGTTCTTGGTCTGCTGTTCTTGTGAAATTGTACAGTACTAGGGCTGAGGCTGATGACGTTTCACGAGTACACAAGCACATGAGAACACACATATTGAGAAACAGCATTTATTTACTACCATTGAGTTACGTACCAGTATTCACTGGGATAAAATTCTGTGTCGTCGGCAGGCGTAGAGCTAACAGAACTGGCAGCATTGTTAGGCAGGGGCTTAAACGTACACCAAAGATCTTATACCAACAAATCTTATAAAAATTTTACCAAAAATGTTATGTAAACAGACCTCTTGTCTACACCATCAACTCCAAACCTGTTTTAGTTCTTAACTAGAAACAAAAGCTCATGCTCGTTGCTAGCACTGAAAATAACAGTAATCACTTAGACACATGCCGGATACTACTAACTGTGCTTTCTTTGGCAGAATTCCCTCTGATGAGAACTACTGGCATGTTTTCAATATTGGGATCGGATCTTCTCAAATCTGTTTTTGATGTTTTATTAACATAATGAATACAACTCGAGGAAAATAAAAAACTAATTTGTAAGGAAGAACATAAAATCTGAATGATGTGGGAAATACCTGAGTAGAAGTGACACTCCTGTGCCTCATGTCTGCTGCTATCTGGTCAATATCACTACAGAGCTGCTGAAACTGCTGCTGGAGTAACGCTAGCTCCTCCTGTTGGTGAAGCTGAGTGTCACCCTCTGAATGACGTCCACTGTGAACCGGGCTTTTTACAGCTGTAGCTTCCTGCAGAACCAACACAATATTAACTTTAAACTCAGGTTTTTTAGTTTGAATTCCATGAATACTCTTTCAGATATATTTACCTCTGTAAAAGTGAACTTCTGAGTGTGTGTGAAATGGGTGCCCTTGGTGAGGATGAGGTCAAAGGGGGCAGGCCCTCTGAAGGCCCGCAGGAGGTCTGAGAGCTCGGAGCTGGGTCGACAAACACTGTAGATGCTTTCAGGAGATTGCATAGCAACAGAACGAAGCTGCTCCTTGATACGATTGCGCAATCTTTTCAGCTTCCTTGAGCGGTACTCCTGTTTGAAATGCAAAAAAACAAAACAAAAAAAGAACAGTTAACAGCAAATCACCTTTATCTTGACTTCTTTGTTATTTTCTTATTATCTTATTTTGACTTTCACGATTGCCATCTTCAGAATTTGACTTTAAAACCTGACTGTTCTAATTTCTATTATAGACAAGCACCAGGACTAAGAACAGTCTTATTCAAGGTCAAAAACTAAACTGAATGTTTTTTTTTCTTATCGATACTATTTATCCTTTTGTCATGTACAGGTGCTGGTCATAAAATTAGAATATCATGAAAAAGTAGATTGATTTCAGTAATTCCATTTAAAAAGTGAAACTTGTATATTATATTCATACATTACATACAAACTCATATATTTCAGATGTTTATTTTGTTTAATTTTGATGATTACAAATGACAACAAATGAAAATCTCAAATTCATCATATCAGAAAATTAGAATATTACTGAAGACCAATAAAAACAAAGGATTTATAGAAATGTTGGCCAACTGAAAAGTATGAACATGAAAAGTATGAGCATGTACAGCACTCAGTATTTAGTTGGGCCTCCTTTGGCCTGTATTACTGCAGCAATGCGGCGTGGCATGGAGTCGATCAGTCTGTGGCACTGCTCAGGTGTTATGATAGCCCAGGTTGCTCTAATAGTGGCTTTTAGCTCTTCTGAATTGTTGGGTCTGGTGTATTGCATCTTCTTCTTCACAATAGATTTTCTATGGGGTTAAGGTCAGGAGAGTTTGCTGGCCAATTAAGAACAGGGATACCATGGTCCTTCAACCAGGTACTGGTAGCTTTGGCACTGTGTGCAGGTGCCAAGTCCTGTTGGAAAATGAAATCTGCATCTCCAAAAAGTTGGTCAGCTGCAGGAAGCATGAAGTGCTCTAAAACTTCCTGGTATGTGGCTGCGTTGACCCTGGACCTCAGAAAACACAATGGACCAACACCAGCAGATGACATGGCACCCCAAACCATCACTGACTGTGGAAACTTTACACTGGACTTCAAGCAACGTGGATGAAGTGCCTCTCTTCTTTTCCTCCAGACTCTGGGACCTTGATTTCCAAAGGAAATGCAAAATTTACTTTCATCAGAGAACATGACTTTGGACCACTCACCAGCAGTCCAGTCCTGTTTCTCTTTAGCCCAGGCAAGACGCTTCTGACGCTGTCTGTGGTTCAAGAGTGGCTTGACACAAGGAATGCGACAGCAGAAACCCATGTCTTTCATACGTCTGTGTGTGGTGGTTCTTGAAGCACTCACTCCAGCTGCAGTCCACTCTTTGTGAATCTCCCCCACATTTTTGAAGGGGTTTTGTTTCACAATGCTCTCCAGGGTGCGGTTATCTCTCTTGCTTGTACACTTTTTTCGACCACATCTTTTCCTTCCCTTCGCCTCTCTATTAATGTGCTTGGACACTGAGCTCTGTGAACAGCCAGCCTCTTTAGCGATGACCTTTTGTGTCTTGCCCTCCTTGTGCAAGGTGTCGATGGTCGTCTTTTGGACAACTGTCAAGTCAGCAGTCTTCCCCATGATTGTGTAGCCTATAGAACTAGACTGAAAGACCATTTAAAGGCTTTTGCAGGTGGTTTGAGTTAATTAACTGATTAGAGTGTGGCACCAGGGGCCATCAATTTTGAACCTTTTCACAATATTCTAATTTTCTGATATGATGAATTTGAGATTTTCATTTGTTGTCATTTGTAATCATCAAAATTAAACAAAATAAACATCTGAAATATATGAGTTTGTATGTAATGTATGAATATAATATACAAGTTTCACTTTTTAAATGGAATTACTGAAATCAATCTACTTTTTCATGATATTCTAATTTTATGACCAGCACCTGTATGTTGGTTTGAAAATGCAACAGAGGTTCAGAAAAAGTCTTCGAGAAGTAGGGTGACCATAACGAGAGAGCTGGCAAAAAACTGACAAAATACACATAAACAGCCCCTAAGCTTCCCATCTGAGCGAAGGTAGTGCCTACCACATTCTCAAGAAATAGAACACTTTCCTCCATACCCCAAGAGGTTAAATCATTAAAAATAAAAAATAAATGTATGTTAAATAAATTGTGAAACTCAAATCTCTCTGCAGCTTACAACATTGCATGTATTATTGTGTGTTGTGTACTGTGTGCAGCAAATCAGTCACCCAATAGGGATGAATAAAGCTGTAAGAAGAACTGCACAGAAAATCATTAAAAAAAGAAGGCAGTGTCCAAAAAACTTGAAATCCAGATAGCTTTCACACTGGAGGCAATATAATGCATCGATTGCCTTTGGTATGTTAGGATAATTATCATTGAAGGTTTGTGAGTTTATCACACCCTGGTATGGGCTGCCTATTGCGCGTCAGAGCCATGGATGTCTAATCATCTGCTAATGTGTATGATGTAAAATATGATGATGTGGCAGACTGGAGATGTATAAAATGCATTTTTAAAGTTAATCGGGGCAACTTCCTGAGAGGTTAGCCCAGAGGTGAGCAGCTGCCATTCTGTAACCCCAAACCAATTTCTCTGATCTGAGTAAGATTACAATTTTCTATCAAAATCTGTTGTCTCATGGTTATTTAATACATATAAGTTATGAAATGTTATTTAAAGAGTTTGTCCCGAGTGATCTGTTTTCGGAAAAAAAAGAACCGGAGAGATAGAGCATAAGGGTGTATACACCGGGCCTATCTTTAACAGGTAAATGTGACAAAGTTGGTAAGAACACCATTCATCTCAGTTTCTACATTTCAGTTATTTTTCTTGTCTGCTTGATTAAACAATCTCTTATTTTCCATTGGAGGCCATCTTGTCTTTCAGACATCAAGGTATATAAGATATAAGGACATGGGCAGAGGTATAAGGTCTGCCACTGTTTGGGACAGATTCTGTCTTTGTTGATTTCGATCATTTCACGTTACTGATTTTGAGCCGTTTTCTTTATAAGCTATAACAAGCTTTACTTCACTAAGGGTTCAAACACTAATAAATACTTAAACACTTGTTTCTGTGCTTTCTCATATGCTCATTACATTTTGATGACCAAATTATGACCAAAAGTCATATAATGGAATCTTTGTCTATTCGCTGCTAGCCATTTCAAAGATGGTTAAGAGTTTAATTAATAACATTTAAATGTTATTAGTTCCTGATTGAGCAATACAATTGACCACATTTGGACATTATTTGGCCAAAAGATGTTTTATTCACCTCATGGAATTGCATTGTAAATTTGTTTGTAAACATTCCGATCACTATAAATTTGTGAAAAGCTAATTTGAACACATCCCAAAAAACTGATTTTCAGACACAAAATTCCATCCTAAACTGTGATATTATTGCATCATCTCATTTATTATGGTTTTTGACCATGTTTTCCCTTCCTCTTCATACATGGCATTTAGTTTAGTTTAACTGGTTTTTAGTCAACAGTTTTCTACTGAGGTTTTCTAGTGTTTCACTAGGAGCTTGACTTGGATCCAAGATAGCTAAGGTTGAAGGCAGTGGCTCGCTAAAGTTCCAGACAAATACACAAAATAGGTAAGCTGCAGACCTATGACAAGATAACTATAGATGAGTATGCCATGACTGTGTCAGCCTACATCAACAAATGCATTGAGGACGTCAACATAACCACCCGGGCCAACCAACGACCCTGGATGAATGGGGAGGTAATTGCTAAAACCAGGGAACTGAGCTTTCAAATCTGGTGATAGAGAAGCTCTAAGAACAGCATGTGCACGTGCCTCCACTAAGGAAGCCATCTCTGCTGCTCTCCACGTGAGCCTGGCACACCTGGAGGAGAAGAACATCCACGTGCGGAGGCTGTTCCTCGATTTCAGTACAGCTTTCAACATCATCATCCCACAGCATTTAATAGCCAAACTGGAACAGCTGCGCTTCAATACACCCCTCTCCAATTGGTTGCTAGACTTCCTCACAAACAGACCTCAGTCAGTCAGTGTTGGACAGAACACCTCTGATGTCATCACCCTAAGCACAGGCTCCCCTAAGGGCTGCGTCCTGAGCCACCTGCTGTTCACTCTGATGAAACACGACTGCAGCCCCAGGTTCATCATCAATGACATTGCAAAGTTTCCAGAATATACTACGGTGGTGGGCTTCATCAGAGACATTAACAACCAGGACTACAAAGAGGAGGCGGAGCAGCTGGTGGGCTGGTGCAAAACTGACAGCCTGATCCGGAACGTGGAGAAGCTGAAGGAGATCATTGCCGACTTCAGGAAGAACCTAACCATGCCTCACTGCTCTTCAACAGTTCAGCTGTAGAGGTGGTCAGCAAACCAAACTCCTGGAGGTGCACATCACAGATAACCTCACCTGGACTGTAACCACCTCACTAGTCAAAAGGCACAAAAGTGCTTGTACTTCCTGTGGATGAGAAATGCCCACCTGCCCCCACCCATCCTCACGACATTCTACAGAATTAGCCTAGAGCGCTCTGACCAGCTGTCTCACTGTGTGGTGTGGAGGCTGTGGTGCCTCAAACTGGAAGAAAGTGCAAAGAGTCGTGAGAACAGCAGAGAGGATCATCGGGGTTCCTCTTCCCTCCATTAAAGACATTTCATCCCAGTGATGAATGTCCCGAGTCCGTAACATCATCAATGACCCCTCACACCCCCACCATGGACTGTTCTCCCTAATACCCTCTGGGAAGAGGCTTTGCAGCATTCAATACAGGTCCAGCAGATTCTCCAAGTTTCGTCCCCATCACCATCAGACAGCTGAATGTTGAAAAAACTCTAAATCATGTCACAGACTCTGCATCACATTGGTAACACCAAACCAAAATACTGTATATTTGCACCGTATATATTAATGCTTGAACTTATGAACTTATATATTGACATGTTTTTTTCACTATGTTTTTTCTCCCCCATTTTTTTTACATTTGATCACTGCTGGACAATGTTCATTTACTGTATACTGTACACTCTGTGTGTACAAAATAAAACAATTAAGTTGACTAAGTGCTGAATGATTTTTGTTAATAAACTCTTTTGACATTTTGAATGGAAGTTGTGGGGAATTTATTCCAGGTATTTGCTGAATTATCTTTTTGACCATGATTTGAGTTCAATCCATACTTTCATTTGTTGGTCACACACAGCCAGTAGGGCGTGTGTTCATAAACAATATAGGACAGTTCAAATAATATCAGATTAAATAAGATATTTATGACCCCTACAGGGGTGGCAATAAATAAATTAAACTTCTTCTGCATTTTATTTTAAGTGAAAAGGGCTTTGCCTACAACCATTCCCTGAGTGGTCGTTGTGTTGAGATTTTCCAGAAACGTTCAGCCCATTTCAACTCCAGCAATCACCTCTTTCCATGCAGTGCTGCTGTTTGACAACATCCGAGTTCTGTCAAGTAGCATGATGTGAGAGCAGAGCAGTTAATGCCCTAACCACGTGGAGTTCACTGCTGGATGCTTTGCCGCACGGTTTGTAATTTTTAAGTGAATCCACCACACTCACCGCAGACTCCATAAAAGCTTTTCTTCAAGAAACACAGAAATATTAAATGTTCTCAACAAGGATGAAAACTGTACAATTGGGTGATTAGTAAAGGGGAGATCAGCTGTGGATATAGAGAAAAAAAGTTATATAAAACACTCAGTTTGAAATGGTCAACCCCCCTGAAGCGCCAAAATTAGAAAGAAACCTAGAAGAAACCCTGTTATGTACTTTTAGATTCAAGAATATACAAACAAGCTGATGTAGCAGTAGTAGTGTTGTGCAGCCCTCACCTGTGGCGCAAGACGGTACAGAAGTCCCTGACTTTTCCACTCTGTATCCCACTCCTGAGTGCTACTCAGATCCGCCATGTGTTGCTCCAACATGGATGACACCATTGATGTTTGACTGGGAGACTGAGCAGTAGCAGGGAGAAGAATGTCTCGCTTGTATTCCTTCACCTCTGAAAACCCAGAACACAAATTGATTATATTTAAGTACTTTTATTTTTAACTGGGCAGTACAATGATGATAATGATAAAAATACAATTTATTTAAAAGACTTCTTTTTTGGAAACTCAAGGTCACATTGCAAAAGATAAAAACAAAATGGCAGAAACAAAGTCAAAACACAGCATAAAAACCATTTAAAATACAAAGGCTGGGACAGAGAAATTGATATTAAAGTGAATAGGCAGATGCATTTTGAGCTGCGATTTGAAATGGAGAAGTGAGTGGGGATGTTTGGATTTCTATAGAATAATTTTTGTGCCACTGACCTGAGTATGCAGTGAGACCGATGTGCAGCGTTGAAACTCTCAAATGCTTTTGCTTCAGTCCTTTCCTTTCCGCGTATGTTTCTGCATACTGGCTGTGCTGTTTGCTTAGTATCCTTTTTCTGTATGCTGGCTGTGCTTTTCGTCGTGTCATCACAAATTTTAGCCGTGTTGTTTAGGTGTTAAATGTCCGTTTGCCAAAAACTGAAGATGTATTTTTTTGTCTTTTTCAAACTAAAGATTTGGGTGGCCAAATTTCCTGTGAATCCCGGTGATATGTGGTTAGTTTATATAAGTGCTTAATTTAATTCTACATGTTTGATGGGTAGGGCAACGGTGCTATGGTTCTTGGCAGAAGTCCTTCGTGAATCGAGGATTCAATCTCATATTCAGGACTTTACGAACTAGCGAGAAACACTTATCTGTCTCTTAGTATTTCTTCTAAGAAATACTATTGGCCTGTCACACTGACTCCCATCATGCTGAAGTGCTTTGAAAGGCTGGTTAAAGAACACAGTTTTCCTACAGACAGAACTGCTCCACTGAGGATGCCATATCCTCTGCTCTACACCCTACCTCAGCACACCTGGAGGAAAAGAGCACCCACGTGCTGATGTTGTTCCTCGACTTCAGTTCAGCTTTCAACACCATCCTCCCACAGCATCTATGGTGTTTCTGCAGAAGCACCATAGACAGCGCTCTGATCTGCTGTCTCCCTGTGTGGTGTGGAGGCTGCAGCGCCTCAGATTCGAAGAGGGTGAGAAGAGTGTTGAGAACAGCAGGGGGGATCATTGGGGTTTCTCTTCCGTTCACTAAATTCGTAGGGGAAACGGCTGTCCCAAACGATGCATTTCCAAATTCTCCCAAGTGGTGCCCGACTTTACACGAGTGACTAAAGTGAATGTGATTGCTTGTTTATCAAGAGGTTGGGGTTGTTGTGACGGAAGGTTCGCAAGCAAGTTTGATTGTGGCCGCTGTCTTGGAAGCTTCTTGCTAACCAGTTAGCAACTTAGTGCTAGGAAGAGTGGTGAGAACAGCAGAGAGGATCATCGGGGTTCCTCTTCCCTCAATTAAAGACATTTCATCCTAGCGCTGTGTGTCCTGAGCCCGTAACATCATCAATGACTCCTTACACACCCACCATGGACTGTTCTCCCTGCTGCCCTCTGGGAAGAGGCTTCACAGCATTCTATGAAAGGTCCAGCAGATTCTGCAAGTTCCTTCCCCACCACCATCAGACAGACATTCATATTAATGCATTTTTTGCACCATGTTTTTTTTCCTCCCACACTGTTTACATTTTATCACTGCTGCACTATATGGAATGGAAATGTCCATATACTGTCTGAAAGCTGTACTAAACAAAATTTTGTTTTGTAGACACTATGACGATAAAAGTTGTCCAAGTCTAAATCAAATACCTTTATACAGCACAGGACTTACCTTTGAGAGACTTCTGACCTTCATTGCAGTATGGTAAGCTGAGGGGATGGACAGAAAACTTTTGTGATGCTGCTCTACTCTAAAATAAAAGAAAACAGATTTTAGGAAAGTGGAATTTGCTTTCTCAAATCTTGAAAAAATTAAGCACTTAAAATACTTGTACACCACCAGAGGAAATCACTCTATTTTAAAACTAAAAACTCACCATCAATGCAAACATTCTGCATATGTTGAGAAACTAAATTGGATTTGTTTTGTGCAGATGAGTCTATATAACTTATTAAATTAAACTAGAGAATATAAGGTTGGTCTAGGTTTAAAAATGCATGATATCCTCCCATAGAGCTTATGGGCAGACTGTAAAGGAGCTCTGAGGGAGGGAGAGTTATTCCTCATTGATACAAACATTTCTCACTACAACACCCAAATCAAAATGCTCAGAAAAACTATCAGAAAGCTTTTAGCATAATTAATTAAGACCAGTAAAATAGGAAGACCGTTAGGATGCAAACAAATGAAAAAAAATGCAAAACTGTTTCTGGACTGTGCTGACTCCTTGAGTGTGGCCCAGTCCAGATACTCACACTAAACATTTCTCATCCCATTCTCCTCAATAGATTATCCTCTCTTGGCATCTCTCACATCCCTCTTGACTGGTTCCGCTCATATCTCTCCGACCGCACTCAGTTTATTCAGCTCAAATCTTTCACTTCGCACACTTCCCCTGTCACTTCTGGTGTTCCGCAAAGGCTCAGTTCTTGGCCCCCTCCTCTTCATCACCTACCTTCTTCCCCTTGGCAGTATTTTCCGGAAATTCAAAATTCACTTTCACTGTTATGCGGATGACACCCAGCTTTATTTATCCAGTAAACCCACTTCCTCACTCCCCCCCTTGTCCCTTACTAACTGCCTACTTGAAATTAAAGACTGGTTCACCTCAAACTTCCTTAAACTAAACAGTGATAAAACAGAACTCCTCCTCACTGCCACTAAATCCACCCTATCAAAAATCAAAAGTTTCTCACTACCCATTGACAACTCCTTAGTCTCCCCCTCCCCTCAGGTCAAGAGTCTGGGTGTCATCCTCGACTCCTCCCTCTCCTTTCAGTCTCACATAAATAAAATTACCAGGTCTGCATACTTCCACCTTTGCAACATTAACCGTCTCCGTTCCTCCCTCACCACTCATACTGCCTCTCTCCTTATCCACAGCCTCATCACCTCCCGTATTGATTATTGCAATTCTCTTCTTTTTGACCTCCCACATAAATCTCTCCATAAATTTTAACTTCTTCAGAACTCAGCTGCTCGAGTCATCAGCAGAACCCCCTCCTTCCATCATATTTCCCCTGTTCTTCACCAACTCCATTGGCTCCCAGTTCAATTCAGAATTCAATTTAAAATCCTTCTCTATACTTTCAAAGCCATCCATAACCTTGCTCCTCCATATCTGTCAGACCTCCTTCACATTGCCACCTCCTCCCACTCCTTTAGATCCTCCTCCTACATCCACCTCACTGTACCCCCAGCTCGACTTGTCACCATGGGGAGCAGAGCCTTCAGCCGCTCTGCACCCCAGCTCTGGAACTCACTTCCTCCCGACCTCCGCAGTATTGACTCTCTCCCCTTATTCAAAGCCAGACTCAAAACCCATCTGTTCCAGCTCGCTTATCTGTGAATATACTGCTCTTTTCCCTATCCATGATTGTTTTTTGTTTTTGTTTTTTATGTTCCTGTATCTGTATTTTGTATTTTCATCTCTTTTTACCGTATTTTCATGACTATAAGGCGCACCTAAACGTCTTTTTTTCCCCTCAAAATGTGGGGTGCGCCCTATGGTGCGGTGCGCCCTATCTGCGGACGTTGTTGAGACCACCATGAGTATGTGAGAACCTTAAAGGGGGAAGTGTGGGCGTGGCTTGTGTATAAAAGAACAGGTATGTGCTTTATGCAGAACATTGTTGTCTTAACAACCCTGAAATTGGCAAAGAGACACGCCTATGAAGCACAGTTTAAACTGAAGGCTATCAGCTACGCAGAGGAACATGGAAATCGAGCAGCTGCGAGAGAATTCAATATAAATTAATCGATGGTTCGCAAGTGGAGGAAGCTGGAAAACGAACTCCGACTGGTGAAGAAGACGCAGCTGAGTTTCCGCGGACATAAGGCGAGGTGGCCCGAGTTGGAGGAAAGACTCGAGCGGTGGATCGTGGAGCAAAGAACGAGTGGGGCCAGCGTTTCAACGGTCACTGTTCGACTAAAAGCAGTAAAGCTGGCGGAAGAAATGAAAATTGAAAATTTTCAAGGTGGTGCTTCCGTTTTATGAAACGGTGCAATTTTTCCATCCGGACCAGGACTACGTTGCTCAGCGACGTCTGGCGGATTATGATGAAAAGCTGGCGAGCTTCCACTCCTTCTGCAGCAAACACATCGCTGACAAAGTCATCCAGCCAAGCCACATCACCAACATGGACGAGGTGCCGCTCACTTTCGACATCCCGGTGAATCACACCGTGGAGAAGAAGGGGACCAGCACTGTAGCGATACACACAACGGGGTATGAAAAGGCGTCGTTTACTGTTGTGCTTGGCTGCCACGCAAATGGACAGAAACTGCCGCCTATGGTGATTTTTAAAAGAAAGACTTTGCCTAAAGAGGCTTTCGCAAAAGCCGGCATCATTTCCAAGGAGCCGCCCTGCACGGAAAGTGACTCTGACAGCGAAGAAGAAGGGGAAACTGACATGTCGGATTTAGCGCAGCTGTTTAATTCAGAAACAGAGGATGATGACTTTGAGGGGTTTGATTAATACTGTGTAATAAATACATGAATAAAGCACAATCATACTCAGTTTTGCTCCCGCTCTATTTTTCTACCTGAAAACTTAATTCAACAGCAGCCTCTGGGCCGCGGCGCATCCGGGCTCACCTCGGCAGGTGTTTTTTCATCTAAATAATCTAAATCTTTTTAAGTGAGAAAGTCCACCTGAAAATGTAATCATTGCAGTCAGTTCATCCAGATTATTATCCTGCCTATGTTTTACGTTAATTTATGCGTCAATAAACGAAGAAGAGGGGAAACTGGCATGTCGGATTTAGCGCAGCTGTTTAATTCAGAAACAGAGGATGAGGACTTTGAGGGGTTTGATTAATACTCTGTAATAAATACATGAATAAAGCGCAATCATCCATATTTTTACTCCCGCTCTATTTTTCTACCTGAAAACTTAATTCAACAGCAGCCTCTGGGCCGCGGCGCATCCGGGCTCACCTCGGCAGGTGTTTTTTCATCTAAATAATCTAAATCTTTTTGAGTGAGAAAGTCCACCTGAAAATTTAATCATTGCAGTCAGTTCATCCAGATTATTATCCTGCCTATGTTTTAAGTTAATTTATGCGTCAATAAACGAAGAAGAAGGGGAAACTGGCATGTCGGATTTAGCGCAGCTGTTTAATTCAGAAACAGAGGATGAGGACTTTGAGGGGTTTGATTAATACTCTGTAATAAATACATGAATAAAGCACAATCATCCTCATTTTTACTCCCTCTCTATTTTTCTACCTGAAAACTTAATTCAACAGCAGCATCTGGGCCGCGGCGCATCCGGGCTCACCTCGGCAGGTGTTTTTTCATCTAAATAATCCAAATCTTTTTGAGTGAGAAAGTCCACCTGAAAATTTAATCATTGCAGTCAGTTCATCCAGATTATTATCCTGCCTATGTTTTAAGTTAATTTATGCGTCAATAAACTGTATCAGAGGAGTAATCACAGCCCTGTGTCATCAGCGATGTGTCTCTCACGGCCGGTTCCCATGGTTTGAATAATACTTTGTAATAAATACACCTTGCAGCTTTATTTGCTGTGATCAGTGGGAATAAAGTAGTTTTAATATGTTTTTAAGTGGGAAAATCCACCTGAGAGGACATGTACCTGTATATAAAAAACGCGCCCTATAGTCAGGTGCGCCTTATGTGTGTGTTAAATACAGAAATGGCACACATAACTGAGGCTGCGCCTTTTAGTCCGGTGCGCCTTATGGTCGTGAAAATACGGTATTTATGTATTATTATTATTATTATTATTAAACACTAAGTGTGCATATGTAGGAAATGCAATTAAGGGTTTGAGTGCAAAAGTCACATGCATGAAAAAGATTTGGAGAATCGGTTTTGCGCCTTGCATCGTAATGGAGTCATCGAAAGTGAGAGAACCCATCCCGGTTTCTGGTGTTACTGCTAAAAAAAACAATCATAAATGCAACTATATATTTTTTTTTTATTATTATTCACAAATAGACTGTAAAATATTAATTATTTTTGATAATTCAACTTGAAAATAAGTTTTTTCTTAACTTAAACCTTATTTTCAAAATACACACGTAAGATTTAAACAAAATATTAGAAAAATATCAGTCATATCTTGAATGAGGTTAGGATACAAAAATTCACATTAGAACACAAGAAAAATCTATGGGAGAAAGAATCTAACTGGATCATAATGCTATGAGAAAGAAAAGGAAAATAAAGGTATTTTAGAAAAGTCATTATATAAAGATCAATGAAAAAATACTTAAAGAAGGTGTGACAACTTTCCATTAGCAGCAGTGGTTATCTGAAAATAAAAAAAGGACCAACTTAGACTGCCAATATAAATCATAATTCTCATATTCAAAATTTGAAGTTTTTTGTGATTACTAATTGTGTAACATAAGACCAGAGTACTTTAGAAAATTATCTACTTTTTAAATGAACAAAATTAATCTAATTTGAATTTGAATCTCTTCTTTAAAATGTATTACCAAAATTTATTTGGTTTGTTTTATATTTAAAAAGTATTTTTTACGTTTCTGTAACTGTTGGAGAAATGGACCATTTGATAAATTTAAAGGACACTGTTACTAAATGTGGTGTTTTTCTATACAAGGTCCTTATCCATTATAGCTGAATAGAAAACATTTCACTGAAAGATTGACTATTAAACCATGAATTTATTATCAAGCATATGTCATTAATATTTCTATTTCCCTTTGGGAGATTAGGAAAATGGTTATTTTAAAAAGAGTGATCTTGATTAACTGAATTTAAGGGTTGAGGTATGGCTTTGCATATTTTATTACAATGTGATTCAGAACATCTAAGATCATGTTTTACTTTGTTGGTTAAATATCCTAAAAAGTTGCCATTACCATCTAACTTCTACCCTACTAATCTTCAATAAAATGTACTTTTTGTTGCTACTTATCCCCTGGATGATCAATAAACAGAAGCTCCTGGAGAAGAATTATTGATTGAATATGAACATAGAGAAAAAAAAATATTTAGAGGTAATTGTATGTTTATTAAAATCAAAAAGGGTGGGTGTAGTGACCTAGTGCTTAGAGCATTACGCTTGGGTCCCGGAGGTTCCGAGTTAAACTCCCACAAACTGCCACTCTAGGTCCCTGAGCAAGACCCTTAACTCCACACTGCGATGCACAGTGGCAGCCCACTGCTCCCTAATGGGATGGTTCAAATGCAGAAATGAATTTCTCCATGGTGAGATCAATGAAGTCCATTAAAAAAAAGCAGGGAACAAGTGCTTGATCAAGGCCGCTTTTTTACTTAAAACATCACATTAAGCAATGCAATGTATGCAATTCACTCCAAAGTCCACTTAGTTTAAGTGTGGATCAAGAGCGCATGGGGCGGGGCCACATGGTTGAAGTAGGAACGGGTAGAGGTGCAGATATTGGGACTGAGCCGGTAACTGAATCTAGCTCTACTTTTACCTGAAGATGATCAACTGCTCTTCTCAAAAATATTGATTTACCTGTGTTTCACCGTGTAATGGCAATCTGCAATTCAAAGGCACCCAGGAAACAGCCAGCTGAGCTTTGATCACAGTAGCGATGGCTCTATGGAGAACAGCAGATTTACCTACAGGTGGAGCGTAGAAAGGATGTTATGTAAACAAAGAGGAGATTTTTAAAAGCACTGTAGTACATTTCTGTCATAATGATCAATTACTTTTAATTCTTTATCTGCTTAACAGTAAGCTGTACATAAAAAGAAAAAGCTGGTTCAAAGATAAATTCCATTAAATAAGATGCGAATGAGCAAATATCTTGTTTGTTATAGTTTACACCTTTAAGCTTTCTCTCCCTAATTATTTCCTGGGAAGAGATCACTCGGGACAAATACTTTAAATAACCATTCATAATGTAAATGTATTAAATGACCAGAAGACATGACATAACAGATTTTGACAGGAACTGTAATCTTACTCAGACCAGAGAAATTGTTCAGGGCTACAGAGGGCAGTGCTTACCTGCTTTAATTCTCCATAAAGTTGGCCTCAAATCACAGTTAAAGAAGCATTTTATACAACTCTAATATGCCACATCATCACATCATTATACACGTTTGTAAATGAGAAGACATCTAGGCTCCAGCCATATCAAAATATGACACTATGTTCTAGATCAAGGACACCGCTCTAATTCCCAGATCTTTACCAACTACTCAATCCTGACAGAAAAACTGTCATAATTAGATAGACTGCTTGGAAAACATGAATTTTGATATAGTAATATTAGGATTTAACAGACTCATACATCAATAAAAACCATCCTGACAATCTCTTCAAATATTATTGGTGCTATGCTAATAGATTTTAACAGATTGTCCTATTCTGGTAGAAATTTTTTTGTCATTCTTGTTCAAAACCATTTTATTAGCACAGATTAGACACATATTAGAAAAGAACCAAAATATGTAGAGCCATACACCATGATAATAAATTTGGACATTGATAACAAATGTCCATGCTGACATTAACATGAATCTCACCAGAGCTTCACACTGGTAAAAAAACCATGATGGAAGGCTGCAAGCCATGGACCAGAATCTGCAGACCAATAAAAGGCCAATTGGACACTAGCTTCCCTACGGCAGGCCTGACATGCTAAATACTGAAGAGAAGTTATGTTCAGACGTAGCATAAGATAGTAGCACATGATAGTAGCAGCAGAAGTCAATAGTATGCAAAGTCAATGGTTGAGGCGCATCAAAGCACAGCAAAAGGTCCTGCAATGTGTTTCGAACAGCAGCGCCTCTTTTCGCATCTGATCAGCCGATGCAGAGCCTCATGAGCTTATGAGCATCTAAAGTTTGTGATGCAGCAGCTGAAGTTGGAAAAACTGAACTTTTGCTGCTCGACGCCCCACATCATTCGATCAGAGACGCTAATCTGCGAGCTAACAGTGAGAAAGACACAGCACTGCTGATGATGCAGATCACTTTTATCACTCCACCGAAACAGTTTATTAATGCCTGAATTAACTTAACATTTCAAAACCTACCAGCAAAATATCTTTGCTTATATTATTCTGGTGCCTACAGTTTGTACCACATACCTAAAAACCGTTAACATCTAATTTCCAGCAAACACTAGCAGTAGAGGAAAGCTCCCAAGAGGCGACCGGGCCAGAGGCTGCTGTTAAAGTGGATTTCCAGTGACAGAACACCGCCGGTGTACGGGGGGTTTGTGCTGGTCTGACGGCGAAACAAGGCAGGCTTTTAAGGCAGGATTGTAATCTTCAGTCACGTGGACTTTCTCACTTAAAAACATATTAAAACTACTTTTTACTCATAACAGCAAATATAACAAAGCTACTCCTTTCCATTGAACACAGGAGCAGCAGAAGCATCAGACGCATCTGGACACACAATACTGGATGCACAACTGGCCATGAACTGTGTTAAATGTACCTCCATACATAAGACTAGACTGGTTTAAATCTTATCTATCTGATCGAATTCAGTTTGTTCATGTTAATGACAGATCTTCAACATGCTCAAAGGTTTGCCTGTGGAGTACCACAGGGCTCGGTGCTAGGACCAATTCTCTTTACTTTATACATGCTCCCAATCGGTAGAATTATTAGACAACATGGGATTAATTTTCACTGTTATGCTGATGATACCCAGCTATATCTGTCTATAAATCCAGATGAAGCTAACCCATTACATAAATTACAGGCATGTCTTGAAGACATTAAAACCTGGATGACTCTTAACTTTCTTCTTCTGAATGCAGACAAAACAGAAGTTATAGTCTTTGGACCAGAGTCTTTGAAAAAGAAGCTGATTAGTCAGTCACTTCATTTGGATGGGATTAAACTGATTTCAGATAATAAAGTAAAAAATCTTGGTGTTGTTTTTGATCAGGATCTGTCATTTAAATCCCATTACAAAGAGGTTTCTAGAATTTCCTTCTTTCATCTGAGGAATATTGCAAAACTTAGAAATCTCCTGTCCAGGGGTGATGCTGAGAAACAAGTCCATGCATTTGTTACTTCAAGGCTGGACTATTGTAATTCTTTGCTATCAGGAAGTCCACAAGCTGTAGTTTAAAGCCTTCAGCTGATCCAAAATGCTGCAGCCAGAGTTCTGATGAAAATTAAAAAGAGAGATCATATCTCTCCTATTCTGGCTTCTCTTCTTTGGCTTCCTGTTAAATCCAGAATAGAATTTAAAATCCTCCTTCTCACATATAAAGCCTTAAATGGCCAAGCTCCATCTTATATCCCAGATCTGATTGTTCCTTATGTTCCTAACAGAGCACTTCGCTCTCAATCTTCAGGTTTACTAGTGGTTCCTAGAATTTCTATAAGTAGAATGGGAGGCAGATCTTTTAGTTATCAGGCTCCTCTCCTGTGGAACCAACTACCACTTTTAGTCCATGAGGCAGACACCCTGTCTACTTTTAAGTTAGGCTTAAAACTTTCCTTTTTTGATAAGGCTTAGAGTTAGAGTGGCTCAAGTTATCCTGAGCTATCTCTATAGTTATGCTGCTATAGGCTTGGATTTCTGGAGGACATAGGGACCCCCATTTCATCATTCTATCTCTATTCTCCTATTCTGCAAAATCTTTTAGTTCAATCTCTAACGTTATGCTCTCTCTGCTTTTCCTCAGAGTAGCTTTGCCTCGTCTGTTCCTGTTTGGCTGTGATGCCATCCTGGAGAGAAACATCAGCTGTGCTGCTTCCATCAACACCCTTGTTTATAGATGCTGGAGATCGGCCTGTTTTCCAGCAGATGGCCGCTCACACTGAGCCTGGTTCTGCTGGAGGTTTCTTCCTGTTAAAAGAGTTTTTCCTCCCCACTGTCACTACAAGCATGATTAGTGTGAGGGATTGTATTTGAGTCAATAAGTCAATGCAATCAACTGGTTTTCCTTAGATAGAACACTTTGTATTAATTTGATTGTATGATCTGATTGAACTGTAAAGTGCCTTGAGATGACATGTGTTGTGAATTTGGCGCTATATAAATAAACTGAATTGAATTGAATTGAAGATGCCCATAGTGCATGCCAAGGCACAAGCCAAGACTGACTAAAGACACGACTGTCTTGATGTATAGACGTGAAGAAGGATCTGGTATAAAGAGAATTAAGATATGGTTGAAATGTAATTTAAACCATATACCACTAAAAAGTAGGCATCTTAGAAATATAGCATCATATCTAACATTTTTACCGTGGTTTGCAAATAGTATTTAGCATTTTTGGCAAATTCAAATGTTTTCTCTTAAAATATGTAGAGCAGGATTAGGCAAAGCCGGTCCTCGAATGCTACTGTCCTGCAGCTTTTGCAGCCCTGATCAAACACTTCTGAGACAAAAGGCCAAAAAATGCCTTCTTGGAATCTCAGTAAGTTTAGCAACCTCTGGCTTATAACCATTCATGCTTCAGGTGTGTTGAAGAAGGGATGAATGCAAACACTGCAGGAAAGTGGCAATCGAGGACCAACACTGCCAACCCCTGGTCTAGTGTGTTGTTCTAACACAGGCATCCCCAAAGCCGGTCCTCAAAGGCCACTGTCCTGCAGGTTTTAGAGGTTTCCCTGCTTTAACAAAGCTGATTATGATGATTGCAGTTGAACAAAAGCCTGTTAAACAGCTGTCAATTAAAATCAGCTATGCTGAAGCAAGGAAAACTATGAAACCTACAGGACAGTGCCCCTTGAGGTCCAAATTTAAGGATGCCTGTTCTGACAGGTTGCATAGGTCATTATTTTTGCTGTTAAGAATTTATACTTTATGAATAAACTGAACTGAATTGCTAGAAGGTGAACCTCTATTCCGGCTTATATCACAAGCAGACAGACAAAGGTTTCCCCCAGTATCCCTGTATTTAGTGCCATAACTCTTTCATTCAACTGGGAACTGTTTCATAGGGCCATCTGCTGAGAAACATCCCTATAGAATGATGCTGGCATAGCCATGTTTCACTGATAGAGCTTTTTCCTTTTGGGCTGCAAAGTTCAACTTAAATCTATTCTGATCAGAGAAACTCCCTTCACACATATTGGATATTTCCCACATGCCTTTAGTAAACTCAAAATGACTCTACTTGTCTCTAATGCTTATTACTTTTTTGGCCTCTCTAAAACACTGAATAACCGAACAGTGTGGATTGTTTTACAATACTGCAGCACTGAGCTGGTATTTCACAGTACCAAAAGTATTTTGTTTGTTTTTTCTCTCATTGTACCTGTTGGCTGGTCTGAGGCCTCAGAGCTCTCTCTAGGCAGCTTCTCCACCAGGAACATGAGCAGTGAACGAATCTCTGGTTCATTACTGTATAGAAAGGTCTGATAGCCAATCTCTCCCTTATAGCCAATGTCCTAGAAAGACAAAGGTAAGAAATATTAGCACAGCATAGCACACGAAATATGGGTGGACATTGTTTAAAATGTACAAAAAGGGCATGGATGTATGGTAGTTGCCTAACATTATAACAATGCAAGGTCCTTGGGGATTGAAGTGTGACCCTAACATTTACATTTAGATTAAAATGTGCACACCTTTAATACGATTTTTCTTAAGCTCTAAATATTAATGATTACAGCAATAACTGTCAATACTTTGTAAGGAACAGATGATTTCTAAGAACCTACAAATCATAAGATCAAAAACACATAACAAGTGAAAACAGAAACTTTCAGAGATCAGATATATGAAGTGATGCCAGCTAAAGCGACTGATTGGCGCTGGCTTCCACGTCTATATATGATGTTATTGTTCTGGAGCTCGTTCGCCTGGCTGTGTGTTTACTGGACGGAGCCGCTGGAGGAGCTGGTTGACAGTTGTCTTTTTTACCTCTGCTTCTTTTTCTGTCTGCTTGAACCCAGTTGGCCTCGGCAGATGGCCGCACCACTGAGACAGGTTTCTTCCTGTTAAAAGGGAGTTTTTCTCTCCAATGTCACTATAAACATGCTTGGAGTGATTGCCTTAGAGTCAATGCAATTAGGTGGTTTTCCGTAGATAGAAAACTTTCAACCAATCTGACTGTATGAGCTGGTTGACTCGTCTCTGTAAAGTGCCTTGAGATGATGTGTGTTGTGGATTGTTGCTATATAAATAAACTGACTTGAATTATCTGGAGATGCTGAAACCTCCACCAAAAATGCTATTGGTGAGTTCTGGATGGAGCATTTTTAAAGAGGAAGGTTGTTGGGCCACCTTTTACAGTTGCTTTTTGTATCTCTACTTCTGTCTCTTGAACCCCAGTCTGCCTCGGCAGGTGGCTGCTTACACTGGTTCTGCTGGAGGTTTCTTCCTGTTGAAAGGGACTTTTTCCTCTCCACTGTCACTACAAGCATTCTTAGTGTGAGGGATTGCATCCGAGTCAATGAGTCGATGCAATTGATTGGTTTTCCTTAGATAGAAAACTTTGACTGTATGATCTGGTGAACTGTAAAGTGCCTTGAGATGACATATGTTGTGAAGTGGCTCAATATAAATAAACTGAATTGAATTGTTATTTCCTTTATCTTGAAATCAAGATTAGGGATGGGAATCGAAAACCGGTTCCTGTTCAGAACCGGTTCTGTATTTTCCGATTCCATGGCATCGTTTGGCAGCTCGCTGAATGATTCTTTTTTCGATTCCCGCAGCACCAGAGCCTAAAGCGCCGGCTCTGGGGAGCACGACTTACGTCACGTTTTTTACGCAAGTTACGCATTATCAATTCCCGCAGCACCAGAGCCTAGAGCGCCGGCTCTGGGGAGCACGACTTACGTCCCGTTTTTTACGCAAGTTACGCATTATCAATTCCCGCAGCACCAGAGCCTAGAGCGCCGGCTCTGGGGAGCACGACTTACATCACGTTTTATGCAAGTTACGCGCACGGCGTTCAGTAAGCAAGTACGGAAGACAACGAGCTGCGGTCACTTTGTGAATCAAAGCCCCGTCTTTCCTTAGCCCAGAGGGTAGATCAGGAAATCCAGCTCTATAAAAGCTTGCCCTCCATCCCCTGCAGGGATAGCGCCACACTGTGGTGGTGGAACAAGCAAGATACGCTGCCCTTGCTATCTGGACTGGCTGAAAACTACCTCTGTGTGCAGGCTTCCTTCACCCCATCTGAGAGGGTGTTCTCCACGGCTGGAAACACCTTAAGCGCTGAAAGATCCCGTATCCTTCCAGAAAAAGCAGATATGCTTATCTTTCTGCAAAAGAACTGTTAATTTTCCCTACTACTGTTTTATAATTAGTATTTTTTGTTATTTAAAATAGGTTATTATCATAATTTGTTATTAGACATGTTTGGTTATTAAGTTTGTTCTTGTATTAATTTTTCATTTAAACACAGATGTTACTCCAGTTTCACATTTCCTGTGGACATCTTGATCTTGTTGAGTTTGTAAGATTGTGCAATAGTTAAGTAAACAAAGTTGATGCTGATAATCAAACTGTTTGTTCTCCTTCTTTTCCCCAAATTGTAATCGAAAAAAGAATCGATAAAGAATCGAATCGTTTCATAGAATCGAAAAGGGAATCGGAATCGTGAAAATCTTCTCAATTCCCAACCCTAATCAAGATCCAGTTTTATTGTACAGTTCTGTCTTACACTGCTGTTATAACTATTACAACAAATGCTATGCATTAGAGCTTCTATAATCCAGTTAGTTATTTGATTACTAAATTAGTTGACAATTATTACAACAATAGATAATCCTGATCCTTAATATGATGCACGATTCACCATGTGACTAGCACAACAGACGCTAGGCGCATTCGACATGATTCGACCTGCAAAGATCCTATGGGTGTTGGTTTGTGCACGGTACATGCTGGTTAGATCTCTGTCGAACTTGCTGCGGTCTGTGTCTGGAGCAGGTGAGCAACTGAAAATTTGAGAGAGCAGAAAAAGATCCAGCCGTCTGAGCCAGCCGCCACTCAAACTCTTGATCAACTGCAGGTGGCTCTCGTAGTACATTAATGGAAGACGTCCTACTGTCACCAGTAAACTGACAGATGATTGGATCAAAGACAAGTATCGAATGAAACCTAGAATAGATAGGTATCCTAATAGGTATTGAATAGATAAGGCCCTTCATACCCTCTCCACTCTTCCAATTCATCTTTATTTGTTCAAACTATGCATTAATATAAACTTGAACAATTATTCAGTGGCATATGTATATGTTCATAACAGGCCTAGATGGTGGTCATATGTTGTAATGAATGTAACATTTAAGGCTATTATATAAATATGTAGTAGGCTATGCTTGGCTGATTATTTAATAAGTTTGTTTTGTAAAATGTTGACTTATTAATAGGCTAATTGCTAATTGTGGGTAGGTTTATAACAAGCAAAAAATTTGACAGATTATCCAAGCTATAATTAATAAATATAATGGAACTAAATGTGAGACACTGAATAAATACAGTACGCTGGTGAAGATTATCGGTCATCCAAATCATAGTCATTCCAAAGAAGTTAAAAAACAATCCACTGGATTTTGTTTCCAAGTTTTAAGACATTTGGCTTCCCATGCAGGAAGCTTTTTCAATAAAAAATGAGAAAAGAAAAAGTTTAGTACATTAGACTCCAATATAGGGCTGCAACTAACGATTATTTTGAGGGCGTAGCCACAAAGCTTTACCGACAAGCTGTTTGTTTACACTCCCCCCACCAGCTTCTTGTCGAGCGAGTGAGTTGCGCTAGTTGGTCAGACGTTGGCCAAAAGGCACAGATATGGCTTGAAAAATAACGGGTTGTTCTCACCAACAATCTTCTGATGTCTCATTCATCGGGGCCAGACAAAAATAACACCTTTCATCTCCCATTTAATCTGGTTTATCAGGCAAGTAATTCCATCAATAAGGTGGATAACACAAGAGCTACAGACTGGTCCTTTCCCACAACAGTGTTTTACGTCTACCAATCAGCACAGCCATGTACTCTGCACTGTTAGTTTCAAATGCACCTAATATTATCCAGCATTGAGCAGCTGAGACTGGTTGTAACAGCAGCCTTATTTGTGGTGTTATACACACACTTACAGTTTTGTGGTACTTGAGATACAATGACCACAAAATGTAACTCATTCACCAACCCCCTGAACCAATTCTGCTGAACTACAACCAGAATTCCTGCTTTACACTCAAATTGCAGTTCTAAAACACACTTCTTTCAAAACACTTCACAAAATTCTTTGCTTTTGGCACAAGCTTCATGCAGAAAATTTCCTGTTTTCACAAGGAACACACAGTAGTTCAAATATGATGCATCACAAGACCAAACACCTGTCACACAGTTTTCCAATAAGCAATCAGAGCTTTAGCATAAAAGGGCAACAGGTGAAGCAAAGGATGCCATCACTGGAAACAGAGGCAGAACCAGAGGAATGAGAGTAAAAGGAGGAGGACAGGGAGGACCAAGACTAGAAAGGCCAACGACCGTGATCCCTGTTGAGATCCAAGCCACTGTGGTTGATCATGCAGTCAACCATGTTCTAACAGTGAGGGAGGCCGGGCAAAGAGAACAGCCAAATCTGAACAGGTACACTGTAGTATCCATCATCTGTACTTTCAGAAATTAGAATAGGTAAGAAATCTTCTCTCGCATTAAAATTGCAGTACTGCATATCAATACAGTACTCAATGAGTATAGTATTACAGTATTACCCATGGAGCTAGCGGTGGAGCGGAATAAATATGGTGCAGAGCGGTTTTCAATTTAAAGGCCAGAGCGAGGATTTCGCTCCACGCAAGTTCGCTCTGATGCACTCACAATGTCAATTAAAAATGTTGGATTATAAAATTTGTATAATAACATTTATTTTTTAATCAAAATCTTTTTTATTGCTAATTTCACATAATAACAAATGTGCAGTGCTGAATATTCGCTACAGTGACATGAGATGGATACATATCAATCACACCATGCACAAATTAAATGTATCAAATAAACAGGGAAAAACCAAACCAAACAAAATTAAATTAAAAAAAAGACAAGAAGGGGAAGAAAGTAAATCGAACAGTGTGCAAAATAATCCCTTTCATGTCACTGCCAGGTTACTAGTCATGTTTTGAAAAAAAATCTCTGTTAGACCAAAACCTCAGAGTGTGTAATAAATTTGCAACATGGCTGAGCTGTATTCAAGTACGGAAGAGGATTAGGGCCACTGAAAAAAAAAAGTCAGAATTCTGACTTTATTCTCAGAAATCTGACTTTAACCTCAGAATTCTGATTTTAATCTTAGAATTTTGGATCTTAATGTTGATGGGCACCATGAAGGAAGAGATGTGGGAGCGCTCAGCTTCACTGACAAAGATATGAGTTGTTTGAGGCCAGTGACACATTGGTGGAAAATGACGGAATTAGGCAACTTTTTAC